TTATATGAACGATTTAATTTATGATTTCACTTTGACCTTGTCGATTGAAACCTGAAAAAGACGTCGATCATTTAACTTTAACTTATGAAGGAATCATATCACTTGAAATTTCAAAAAGTCATCATCTTCTCTTTCATATCCTGACCTTCGTAGAAATTGTCAAGTTTTTCAATGTTTGATTTTTTTACGGTACGTCTATTATAAATTGAGTCAAACAAATATGGATAGCTCAAATTAATGGCGGACAACAAAACCAATGGACGGATGAAGAAAATTGATGAGACAAAGAAATATTAAGATGTTTACCAAAGAAACCAGCGGCAGCATTTATGTCTGCATGTGTTTCCTGCTTTATTAGGACACTGGATACTATGCATTCATGTCTCCCTAGCTGGTGTGAAAATTTGTCAAATTTTTGGATTCAAAATTATAATTTTAATCTTAATGATAATTTTAAATTGGTCATATTATATTAGGGGTCCTATATTTTATTAAATTTTAAATTTTAGTTTATATATTGTAATTTATATAAATTTAATTCTCATATAATTTTAATTTAATAATTTTATACTGTAATTTATAAAAATTTAATTTGATAACATTATGATAATTATTAACGCCATTAAATTTTTATTGTTAAAAATTATTGACGTGATAGTTGAATTAATTATGTGAACATTAATTTTATTAATATGACATTGATTTTGTTAACTTCAACAAAGTTAATGTCTATATTGTTAAGTCAACTACACATTAATATTTTTAATAGCAAAAATTTATCAAAATTAATGATTAAATTAAATTATTTAAATAAAATAATATAAAATTTAAATTTGTTTGAATTATAATACATTGATTAAATTTCAAATTTTAACACAATATAAAGATTTCTAACATAATTTAACTTTTAAAATTCTTTTTTAAATGATTGAATTTTAAATTTATTTTAGGAAGAATGAATTTTAAATTTATAAAACTCAAATTATTATTATTGAGGTGCTCCAATTAAAAGAGAGAAAAGAATTGATTATAATCTTTCTTTAAAAAAAAAAAGATTGATTACATTCACCAATCAAGTTGACAAATTAACTTTTCAACTGTTAACAAATTATTATTAGCAATGAATGAGTCCCTTGTCCACCAAGGCGAAGATGTTAAAGGCAGATAGTAACTTTAATAAAATTAATAATGGGCCATTACTGCTATTTTGTTTTTACTGCTATCATAAAAAATTTCGGCATAAAAATATTAATTTATTTATAAAAATTATTTTGGAGCAAAATTCAAGACTTTTTATAAATGTATTATTTTTATTTAGGGTTTTGTTTAACAAAACCCTAAATAAAACATTTTTTAATCTTAACAAAACCCTAAATAAGATAATGTCTTATAATCTTAAAGACATTTTTTAAAGTTATTATAAAAAAGTAATGTCTTTTTTTAATGTATTGAAAATCGACATATTAATTATCAATTATTATATTTAATGGAATAATATTATTATAAATAAAATGATAAATAATCTTTAAAAAAAATCTTAAAAGTATTTGTTAACAAAATTTATTTATTTATAATTTAAAAAATTATGTTTAGCATTATAATTATATTGATGAATTTTTTTTTTTAATTTTTCAATGGACTAACGGAAATGTCCCCATAAGAAGCATCTGTCAATCCACGTGACTCGATGCAGACATGTGGAATGATTTATCGTACGACAGGTGAGACGTCTCGTTCAATACATCTTAAACATGTAACACATGCGAGATGGGTTGACCGTTAACTTTTGACAAATAATTTCTGCTTTTAACTTATTACATATGTCGTCAATTAACTTTTAGGTTAATTGGTATATTATTAAAGTTGATATTCAAAAATTATAAATTTTAAAAAATTTAGGCACATAAAATTTTTTAATTAAGTATGTAACAGGATAAAAAAATTTAAAAGTAAATTAAAATTTAAAAAAAAAATTTCTACACATGTCGATGAGATTATGCAATGTGTTGTAACAAGCAACGTCTGTATAGATGTTTTTGTTAGATTTATATCTTTAAATTATAATAAAATATTTAATATAAAATTTAAATTTTAAAAATTTTTAATATAATAATTAAATTATAAATTTATTAATTAATATAATACTATTTTTTAGTGTAGTTAACTTAAGATAATGATGAAATATGTCGAATAAACATCTTTTAAGTAGATATAATAATTTAAAATACAACATAATAATAGCATAACACGAAAACGATACGAAAATAATATAAAAATAATATGATTTAAAATTTTAATAAAAATTATATATAGATTTAACAACAAAAAATCATTCATGTTTTTGTATTAACATAATTGTAATATATAATTTTTGTGTAAAATATGATACAAATATAATAATTATCAATATTTTATACGATGTGAATATACGAATTAATAAATTACCTTTAAATATCACATTAATTAACATATTTATAATTTAAATATTATAATAAATATTTTAAAATTTGAATATCATTTTAAATATTTAACTATAATTTAAGGATTATTTTCTAATAATTTATGATGAATTTTTAAAAAATACCAATCTATGATAAATGTAAATTTTTTAAATTATAAATGAAAATTATTTATAAAAACAAAAATTTACAGATTCCAATGAATTGCCTTTTACTTAAGTTTTTTATGAGTGGTTTAATTTAATTGTCAAAAAATTAAACATTTTTTTTATTACATCAGGAGGGTAAAGTTTTAGTACAAATAAGAAAAAAGGAAAGAATTTAATTCGAAACCAAACTTTTAATATCCCTTCAAGCCGTCTTTAGCTACTAGATCAAAGGTTTGGGACATTTTTCATAATAAATTAAACATTTTTCATAATAAATTGTCTCAAAACAAAACAAGTAAAAATTAATAATGTGTCTCCTTAACCTTTTTGTTTGCAAATTAAATATGGAACATTAGCAAGCAAGGTTAGATCAAATTGCAGTAAAAAAAACTACCCACATAAATGCGTACAAGAGGTGTTCCTTCTTTTTGTTTAGCTGTCTTTAATTAATAAATAATGATAAATAATTCCATATTTATTGGAATCAATTAGGGTTTGCAATTTTCAGCATTATTATAAACAAAGCCTTTTCCTTGGTTAAATGAATTAGTCCTATTATACATTAGGTAGAATTTTTTTAAGGCAAAGTTTTCAGAGTTTTCAATTTAAAATTAATAAATGAAAATTAAAAAATAATTTTAAAAATTAAAAAATAAGAGTTTTATATATTAAAAAAATAAAACATAATTTTGAGATGGTTAAAAAAAAAAAAGAAAAATGTATTTTTGAGCTGGTTCCACAATGAGATTAGACCACAAAACTTATGATACTTTGTTATGATGATATTAATTTTTTTCTGCAATTACCTAATTGTAATTAATGTGTCATGGCTGTGTTTTAAAAAAATGAAGCAAGTTGCAAGCGTGAATGGTCCACATATGCAACTTCAATGGTATGTCTGCTCTACCAGAGGAATTAATGGCTTTTCCCACTTGCCCATGCTACTGGCTGACCATGTAGCAAAAGTTTTTTTAAAATTAAAATATAAATTAATAGAATTAAAGTATAGTAATAAATTTTAATATTAAAATATAAAATTTTAAATTATTTTTATACAAAGAAGATTATAATATGGGAATAAGAAAATAGATTATAGATATTAAAACTTGAATTTTAGACATGTTAAATATCATCTATTAAAGATGATTATATAAATTAATTGAACTAAATTTTAAATTTAAACATTAAATTAATCTACAGTACAATATTTATTTCTAAAAAAGAAATTAGATGAAATTTTTTACATGAAGTTTATAAAATTCTGTATTAGAAACAATTAAATAAAAATTAAACTTGAAAATTAAAATCAATAGATTGAAAGGTTTCGGTACATAAATCAAAGGTAAAAAATTTGAAAAAATTTTGATATATTATTTAGATAGATATTTTAGTAAAAATATTGATAACGTATTTATTGTAAATAAATATTGGTCCAATTTAAATTATAAACAACATTTTTAACTTTTTTTTTGACATAATATTAATTTTCATATTAAACTCTATCAATTTATTAATTTAAATTTTTTATTAAATTATTTTTAATTAAAAAATTCACAAATTTCACGTAAAATTTGTGCTTATTTCTGATAATATAATTGATTGTATCTATTTATTATAGAGTTGTAATGCCAGGTCATTCACATGTAATTATAAAATTACAATTTTTAATGATTATTTAATGAGATAATATAAATAATTTGGAGCATTAAACAGCTGTTGGGTATTTATTATTTTCAGACTAGGGTTGCCAAAACCTGTGCCAAACTTAATTTCCAGAAGGAATTTCAATTTTTTTTTTCTTTTTCTAGAATGAAACAACTATTTGTAAATAGAGTGAAAAAATTTGTATCCATCTTATAAGATAACAAAAAGTAAAAAAAAAAAAAAAAATTGTCAAATATGATTTTTTTAAGCAATACATCCCTTCTTATAACAGATCCAAACAAACATATTTACAAAAAATAACGCTGCAATAATAAATTTCAAAGCCAGTTTTAGGGAAATTTTGCATTTTCTTTTTCTTTTTGTTTCCATCCAAGCACCCATTTTCCAGTTGCATAGCCCATGTCATACTCTCTTAATGCAACTGCTATCTCCTACTCTACTAAAACCTAGTAAATGCTCAATAGTCAATACCAGTCCCGTGCTACAAGTTGTTGAGGACGTTTCAAACCTTCTTTCAAGAGTCTATCTTCCACACCTAAATAGATAAAGAGCAATCCAAACTGTACAGCATTGCTTCACCTATTTTTAGGTTAAAACAGTGCCAAAAAGATTGAAAATTAAGTATAAATAGAGGCAAGTTAGGTTTCATATATCAGAGACAAATAGTTCTTGTACAAGCTCTGAAAAAAGTTCAGAACTTAAATTTTCTTTCTCTTTCTCTTTGTCAATGGAGTTCTTCATGACAATATGGCTAATATTTCTTTACTGCATCATATTCTTCATTTGTAAGTTGGTTTCACAAATGAGAAATCAATGCTGTTATATTTTGGCCTATGAGTGTTATAAGGCTCCTGAAGACAGGACACTTGATACTGAAACCTGTGGGAAACTCATCTTGAGGAACAAAAATCTTGGTATGGAAGAGTACAGGTTTCTGCTACAGGCTATGGTCAATGCAGGCATTGGGGAAGAAACTTATGGCCCAAAAAATGTCATTGCTGGAACAGAACAATCTCCCAATTTTTCTGATGCACTTTCAGAGATTGATGATATAGTCTTTGGTACTCTTGACAATCTCTTTGCTAAAACAGGAGTTTCTCCATCAGAAATTGATATTCTTGTTGTCACTGTCTCGATGATCTCTTCAGCTCCCTCTCTACCAGCTCGAGTGATCAACCGCTACAAGATGAGGGAAGATGTTAAGGTCTTCAACCTAACTGGAATGGGTTGTAGTGCAAGTGTTATAGCTGTTGATCTTGTCCAGCATTTGTTCAAGACATACAAGAATGCATATGCAGTTATTGTTAGTTCAGAATCCTTGAGTCCAAATTGGTATTGTGGCAAAGAGAGATCCATGATGCTCCCCAATATCCTGTTCCGGCTGGGAGGGTGTTCCTTGCTCTTGACAAACAAAAGATCTCTTAGGCATCAAGCATTGCTGAAGCTGAAACATTCGGTTCGAATCCATGCCGGTGCAAATGATGAAGCATATGGAAGTTGCACCAGAATTGAAGATGCACAAGGGTACTGTGGTTTCTTCCTAACTAAAAGCCTGCCAAAGGCTGCGGGTAAAGCTGTAACCATGAATCTCCGAGTTCTAGTACCCAAAATTTTACCGCTAAGGGAACTTGTTCGCTATGCAATAGCATCTTATTGGAGAAGTAAGAGCAAAACTTCAACTCCTGAAGCAGCAGGAGCAAGTTTGAATCTTAAGTCTGGCATTGAGCACTTTTGCATTCATCCTGGTGGAAGGGCAGTAATTGATGCAATGGGCAGAAGCTTGGGGCTGAATGAGTGTGATCTGGAGCCAACTCGAATGGCACTTCACCGATTTGGCAACACTTCAGCTGCTGGAATCTGGTATGTCTTAAGCTATTTGGAAGCTAAGAAGCGGCTGAAGAAAGGAGACAGAGTTTTAATGATCAGTCTTGGAGCCGGTTTCAAGTGTAACAACTGCGTATGGGAAGTAATGAAAAACTGTGAGGATGTCAATGTCTGGGAAGACTGCATAAGTCGCTATCCTGTAAAATCTACAGCCAATACTTCTTTCCTGGAGAAATACGGTTGGGTCAATGAGTCAAGGAATGAACAATAGGTGTGACCGCAAACCAGGATCAATCACAAAGAGAACAGCTTAGTTCGCTTGGTGGACCATTCATCACTTGCCAATTTCAGGCTTTAGTTTAAACTATTTCGTAAAATCTTTTTGCTTATTATATAAACTCTTTCTGATAAACTTTATTTGTGTTATCATTTTAACCATATTTAAGGAAAAACTGGCCAATGATAATAAAACCAGCATAGCATGGAAATTTTTATTCCCTAAGAAGGGGATGTACTAAACTATTCTTCAAATTGTTGATTCAACATTCTATTTTTTTGAAAGATTAATTGAAATAACAGCACTTCTGTGGAACTGCACCTGAAATATCAGGACTTTGGGGGCTGTGTCACTCAGCTGCGGTAGGCCCTTTTGTTCTTTACTTCAGGATTTTAAACTTTCCATTCAAAGCTTAATATTTTCCTTCTTTCCTGCTTAAAATCATTACCCCACCTAAATCTGCACATGCTCTTCTTTAGCAGAAACTCTAACCCCTGATATGCCCTACAAAATATGTCTATTAGAGCTTGCTGCACTTCACACAATATACAAATGATCTTACTTTTTCCATAAGAATACAGTAAAAGTGTGAGAATTGGAAAATCAGGGTTCTCCTTAGGATTTAGGATATGTTTTTAAGTTAATAGACCCGGGCGGTAAATTTTGGTTAACTTTCCTTGTGTAACCAAATTTTGCAAGGCTGTCAATGTTTTTAGTGGGAGAGTACTATATCTATATCAGGTTTTAAATGCCTCAAAAACAGAAGAAGGTAAAATAGTGATTAAGAAGAAACAACTGGTTTTCCTCCAAAACTAGGGGCATATGAAGACGGTAGCTTTTCAATGTGTCAGTTAGAGTGGTTTACTTTGCTTAGCCGGTTGGTCCTGCAACTTGATTAGCTCCAGCTTCCATAGCAGTACCGAAGATGAAAAAAGTTAAAAACTTTCAACTACTGATTCATTAATATCATTAAAGGCACCAGACTCTATGCCTTCACATTTACACACCTACTCTACATAGGATGGTTTCTTTTCTTTTTGTATTGTTACCATTTGGGAGAATGAATGAAAAAGTGGGCACCAACAGTGATGCGGTTGTTAAACACAATGAAGCCATTGTTTATTCATGTGAGACCTGATTATGTTCCCATTTATTTTTCCAGCAAAAAAGTGTTTCCGGTCATCAAAATTATAGCACTTTCTGAGTAATTTGTGAAGCTTCCAATGTCCATTCCATCTAACGACTCTGAAATGAAAGATAAGCAAAAGGTTTTCATTTGTCATTTTCATTTCTTTTGCTTCCATCTTGGTTGAAATGTGATTGTGTTTGCTTCAATGAAAGCTTGTCCTACTGCAGCTGCAGGCAAAAGGTCAATGACAATGTCGAACACTGGAAACAAAAGACAGAAAATACTAAACGATTAAATAAATTATCTACTAAACAGTCTAAACTATATGAGCCAAGCATGTGGAAAATATCAGATTTCACCAATGTTAGCTGCCTGATATATAGCATCCTATGTTACAACTAGACTTTGATTGAAAAACCAGTGAGATATCAGATATTCACCTTAGTTACTTTAGAACATGTGTAATTACAAGTACATGTGATAGCATCCATACAATCTCTTTTTCTTTATGCTACTTAATTTCTACTGATCTTTACCTATTATTTTCCTTTTTTTTCATTTGTCAGGTAAAAAAAAATGAATAGAGCTAGTAATTGTGAATCAATGGCTTTTTCACCACTAATACTCCTTACTCTTATAGTCCATTCATTTTGATATTCGACATGGCCATTGATACCATCTCATAGGGTACAGCATGCTGCCTGCTGCATGCCTGCCTCACTTATGATAGCAAAATAGGATTTTGTCATTGGCTTTTCACGCATTGAAAGGATAATTATGATACTCTTGATATTAATGTTTGATCTTCCATTTCACAGGAAAGAAAAAAAAAAAAGAGAGGGATGCTCATCAAGCTTTTCAACCCCTCAGTAAAAATTCATCTCTGCACTACTGACAGGTTACAACTGTACCAGATAGGCGTTGTTGAGACTTGAGAATGTTATTGCTTTTACATATTGAAGGAGCATTTTCTTAAATAAAATTTTCAAGATATATAATGCCATAAAATCTGGTTTGAGGGTGTTAATTGGATGGCAAAAGTATAAGAAAGTGATATAAGTCGACATGTATGTTTTTCATATATAGAACTCACAGAATATTTTCCTCACTCACTCAATGGAGCTCTTCATAGCAATATGTCTATTGTCTGTTTTCTGCACAGTAAGTTTTGCATATTAAGTTTTTATTGATAATAGTGACTCAAATCTCCTAAAAAAATTTATTTGAGTTTGATTAGATATTGTATAATGGATAAAAAAACTTACAGAAGAAAAATTTTAAGAGAAAAAAAATTATTAATAGGCAAATTTGACTAGCAAGATAAGAATTTTAAGAAAAAAAATTTTTTGATAAACAAATTTGTATATTTATAAATAGATGAAGTCTCTATATTATGGGATAAACATCCCATAAAACTACTGAGGGTCTACATAAATATAGGTACATGAGTGCATATTAATATATGTTTGTTTGAGTTGAGAATACTTTATAGAACTAGATAAAATTGAAAAAGTTTATGGATATTAATTATGAGTGTTTGATATAGATTATATGTTTGTAATTCTTTATAGCTAGTGGATCTTATTTCTCATCCGTAGACATAAGTCAGATACCATAGACATAAGTTAGATAGGTTAAACTATATTAAATTGTTGTCTCTTGTGTGATTGACTTATTGTTTGATTATGCTTCTGTTTACTTGATTGGATAGAGATTTTTTGGTCTAATAAGTGTTATCAAAACTGTCCCGATCCACAACAGCTTTTTCAAATGAGAAACCGATGCTGCTATATGTTAGAATATGAGTGCTACCAAGGCGACTGACTACAGAAAGATTGATATTGTTCTGCGGAACAAGAATCTTGGTCTAGACCAATACAAGTTTCTCATACAGACCTTGTTCAATTCAGGTCTTGCTGAAGAAACTTATGGCCCAAGAAATGTCCTTGCTGGCGGAGAAGAAACTCCAACTATAGAGGATGCACACTTGGAGATGGATGAAATTATGTTTGACACTTGATTAGCTCTTTGCTAAGATTGGAGTTTCTCCATCAGAGATAGATATACTCGTTGTCGATATGTCATTGTTTTCGCCAGCACCCTCGTTAACAGCTCGAATTATAAACGTAAACAAGATGAGGGATAACATTAAAGCCTTCAGCCTCTCGGAATGGGATGTAGTGCAAGCATGGTAGCTGTTGACCTGGTGCAGCACTTGTTCAAGATATACAAGAATGCATTTGCAATTGCCACGCCAGCCAAATAATTTTAAAATATTAAACAGTTGGTCTTCACCCTTGTAAAACTGGACAGCTTCTCAGGTTATGATTAAGAACTTGTAATTCGAAGCATAAACGGATTACCAATCAACTGAACATAAACAAAGCCTTCATCATAAACTATATATTGAATTGAGATGTAGTTGTCCAATCTACTGATAAAAACATTTACGACAGCATTAACCAAAGGCGTGATAGACAAGTGACTCTTAGCTGTTAGTAATCAATTCCATTTGCTAAAATTGATTAACTATTTGTTTACCTACCAAAACCAGATTAGTAATGTACCAGTGTTCTTTTGCAGTTTTAAAACCATGTGTTTGTCAATGTTATGAATCTGATTTCTCTTTGCCAAAATTTAAATATTTTACCAGGGTGTGACAATTAACATTTCAACTGCAAATACCTGTTTCCTAAAATTGATGAAAATACCTGTCTAACTACTGAAACTAGATTTGTGTTCATTTTGCTGTTTTTGTTTCAAAACCAAATACTTGTCAATGTCATCAATCTGATTTTTCTTTTTGGGTCCAAATGGTTGGTTCTAAGAAAGCCGAAACTGGCAAAATCCAGCTAGATATGGGCTCTGTAGTGTATGCCAGAATGGTGTTTTTATTTCAGCTTTGGTCCATGGATTTGAGTTGTTGTCTTTAATTATTGAACCAAACGTACTTAAATTGAATTTAATTCCATAGTCAATGGACTCTAGAACAAAGGCTTTTATCAAGAAAAGTAGATGAAAATGCAAGCGTTCATGCTAGGAATTCTTGAATAGGAGTAGGAGTGGTGGGTTTGCAAAATGAAAGAAAGTAAATTTGGTTTTCAACATCTCATTTTCATGAAGAAATACTTCAATGAGGGAGGAAAACTTATAGAATAGAATTAAAATGTGACAATATTGTACTCCTGCTAGATAAAGCTTAAGAAATATGGAAAGAAATTGTGGCTTGGTCGGTGAGTGAGGTGGGAAGATATGAAGAGAGTTTGAGTAGAAAAACGTAGCAAAAATCCCAAAACACAAAGGCCAAAATTCGCCTTTTACTAAGCAATACCGTGTGGTCGTTGTTTATAGTGGCATACGTTTATTTTTGGAAGGCTGTTTTTTTCCGAACGACTTAGTTCTGAAGTTTCGGGCTCAACCTTTGGGAAATTGCCGACTTAGTTTTGAAGTTCCCGGGGTAGAATGAAATTTAATGGAAAGTCAATTTTAACCTATTTCCATCAACAGATGGATTCCGCCATTTTTCACCCGTTGGATTCCCTTGGGTATGGGTTTGATTATTGTAAATTTGCCGCGCACTTTCATTATCATTAAGAGATGGATTCCCGGATTTGATCTCTAACATATGAAACTGTTTTTTTCTTATCATCATGCTTGTTAACATCTCATATCATGTATTAAAAGTTGAGTGTTGACCGAATCAAGCTCAATTCACTTGCAAATAATTTAATTTGTCTAAACCCCTAAACAATATCATAGTCAAGCCCAACGGAATGATTGTTGGGTTTTGTTAAAGTTGTCTGAAACCTTACAGCCCACAAGCTATTAGTCTTAGTATGGGCTAGAAGAAATAGGTCCATACCCAAAA